CCCGCCCTGCGCGCGCCAGGCAGGGCATCCGGGGGTGGAAAAGACTCCGGACTAGCCCGGGGGATCCAGCCGGGCCCTGGGGCACAAGTCCCCAGTCCCGCCGCTGCTAGGGCCGCAGAGCAGCAAGTCGGGGGGGGACGGGGCTGGCGGGGCCCTTCAGGAACCTCTGACCCCAGCGCTCCCCGCGAGCACCGGCCGGGGACCCCGCTGCAAATGCGGATTCCCGGCCTTGGAGCCTGCCGGGAGGGGGCTGGTCGGGGGGTGGCACTTGGGCATTTTCCTCCGGGCTTCTTGCTTAGAGTCCCCTGGCAGCAAAAGCCGGTTCCCCGCGTAGCCGCTTGGCTCATGGGGCTCGATGTGCCCTGCAGATTCTTTTGGTTCTCGGTCCATTTTCGAAGGGGGATTGTGACACTTCGCGTTTTTGCAGGGCAGGAAAACTGCCCTCGGGAGGCGAGTTGGTTAGAGGCTGCTCGGCTCAGTCCAGGGAGGTTCTCGCGGTGGCCCGAGAGGAAATGGAAACGCTGCTCAAAGAGCGAAACCCCCCTTCCTCTCAAATCGCTGGTTCGTGAGTCTCCTCTGCTTTGAGCAGTGGCCGGCTCCGCTTCATTGCGGACCTGAACCTCCGTCAGTCTGATCTCGGGGGTATTTTACGCCCCTGCCCCCCATGCATAGAAGTGTAAGTGCCTGGGAGTGTAGAACGGGATGCGATTGCTCCTTGTCCGTGCACAAGGGTGGATAGAGCAGGGGAGGGAAGAGAGTGGAAAAGAGAAGCATGAAATACATTCAGCGCCGGTCAGCAGGCGGCTAGTCCATGAATGGAGCCTGCATGCTTCTGTGAGGCTAGAGAGGCAGTTCATTAGCCACTGGGCTGGGAAGCAAGAGATCTGTTCCCTGCAGTGTGTGACCTTGCGGATTTACATCTCTCTGTTTTCCCTCCCACCCTTTGTGTCTCTTATTTATAAATTCCTCAGGGCTGGTGTCTCCTGTGTATGTACAGCGCCTAGCGCAACCAGGCCTTGATTTCAGGCACTGCCAGTACTGCTAGTACGACCACCAGGGAAGAGCTTGCCCATGAAAGCCCTGCTGCTGCACTGTTAAAGTCAAAGGGAGTTTTGCCATTTGTCTTCAGTGTGCGTGTAGGATCAGGTTCAAAGCAGGCATCCATTCAGCTCCTAAGCATGGGAACTAGGAGAGGGGGGTGCTACAGAACCCCTGGGCTCCTGGCCTATTGCCTGGGGTTCTGACTACTGCCCCATGCACTGCAGGCTCTGCTGTCAGCCCTGCGGCTGGAGACCCAGCTCCTGGCCCTGTCCACCAGACGGCTGTTTGGGCCCCAAGCACTGGGGGGTTGGCTGCTAGCACTGTGCCCCAGGTCCTGGCTGTGGGCCCCACATGGCAGGGCTGTGCTCCCAGCCTCAGCTGGGGGGGAGGGCAGAACCCCCACTCTTAAAAATGTTCCTGCGCCACTGAATTTCAACTTATTTAGCTTGTCAGTTGTTCATCCAGTAAGATAGCAGCTAGGAGAGCTTGGTTTGCCATGGCTTCCAGTGTCCACAAACCTTGAAAACCAGTAGCTAGCTTCCTGGTGTTTCTGTTCAGTTGGCCAGATCACTGGAGAAACCTTTGAAGCTCACAGGACTTTATTTTGAATTTCAGTTGTAACCCCTGCTGATTGCTGAGTGGCTTGGAAAACACCACATGAAAACAGCCTAGTGAATCTCCCATCCCGATGCACCATCGTAACTTTGACCCCTCCTCTTCCCATGTTTCTTGTAGTATTTTTCCCTACCTCCAGCCCCTTTTCTATAACATGGCCGACGCGTGATCATTTTAGTTCTGTCTGACCTCTTCTGCCTTCTGTGTCTGAAATTCACAACTGGCAAAAACTGAAGAAACATGACTTAATTCCCCTAAAGGCCACTTCATTTATATTATCCCAAAAGTAAACCTGCTACCCTAGGCTCTGACGCTCTTTAAAAATATAGAACTTCCCCAGTCAAATAAACAGTCCCCATCAATTGCTTCCAGCTAGAGCAAAGAGAGAGAAAAGGAGCAGCTGTTTCAATCAATAGAATGACGTGGTTTACAAAGGAGGTGACTCTGCTCAGCTGAGGAAGTGGGTTTTGGCCACAATCCTCTTTATTGGTTAATCTGTGAGGTGCTACAGGACTGCGCATTGTTTTTAAAGTTACAGACTAACACAGCTCCCCCTCTGAGACTTTTAAAGGAGGTGTCGTTATGCTCATTTCACAGATGGGGAAACTGAGGCACAGAGAAGATGGTGGGGGGGGGGAGACTTGCCCAATGTCACAGCAGTGGCAGGGCGAGGAATAGAACTCAGATCTCCTGAGTCCCTCTGCAGTGTGCTAGCTCTTAGGGTTCCTTGTCTCCCACAAAAATCCCACCAGTCATCTTTCTCCTGCGCTGCATCCTCGCTAGTCTCCCTCCTTCTCAAGAACCAGGGGGAGAGATGAGGGCACCATGAAGGGAACTAACTAAGGAGCCGGAAAAGAAGCGAATTTGGAAGGTGTGTGTGTGGGGAGGTGCTCACGGAGAACGCTCGGCCTGCAGCCCTCTCTTTGTACCAGTGGGGCTCAGCTCCCGTGTGGCTGTGGGACGCAGGCAGAAAGACGGGCTCTCCCACGGTAGGGCTCAGGCCCTTGGGGACCAAGGGAGACCATACAGACAAAGATCTGGCACAACGTTTAGCAGATGCTGCTAGTTGTGCATTGAGGATGCTCTTCCTGCTGCTTATGTGGGGATATCTAATCTGTGGGGTTTTCCACCTACGGCCCCCAGGCCAGATCCAGCCCTGCCTTCATTTGGTCTAGTCTGCAGCCAGCCTCTGTGAAATGGGCCGGAAGCACCAGCCTCAGCACCCCAACAACCTGCCCTGAAAGCTCCGGGTTGCGGTGCTGAGTTTGCAGACGTGCCAGGGGTTTTCTTTTAGGCCAAGAGCTCTAAACCCAAAGGGGAGAGAGAAATTGTGTTGTATGATCCTAGCAGAAATAACCGGGCGCGGTGGGATCCAAGCCAGGATGAACCTTGAGGGAAATCTTTGTAGCCGCGGTTAAATCGCAGAATATTCACCCAAGAGAAATGCTGCAAGTGTGAGATTTAAAACCCGATTGGGCAGAGCGTTGGTGGCCCCCTGCCGTCCTGCGTGGGCGGTTTGGAGTCCTCGTGGGCTGCTTGTCTCTAGCGACAACGATTCATACAGAGAATTGCAGAGAATTTCCAAACTCAGCCACCAAGAAGGGAAGCGACTTGCCCAGGGTCACTCGGCCGACCCGTGGAAAAGCTGAAAGGAGAATGCAGCTCTCCTGAATCCCAGCCCCAGGCTCTAGCCACTAAACTGCACCACCGCCGTTAGATGCCACCCTCCCACCCTCTCACTCTTCAGATCTCTCTTCAGAATGCCACTCTGCCCATGCAGTCTCCCCGCAGCGATCTCCCTGTCCCACCCCAAACCTCTCTATCCAGCGCCCTCGGGCCCTGACGGAGGCTGGACCGCTGGAGGTCAGGATTGTCTAGCAGCATTGCCAACACTCCTGCTGCTTGCTGGGCTCTTAGATGCCACCCTCCCACCCTCTCACTCTTCAGATCTCTCTTCAGAATGCCACTCTGCCCATGCAGTCTCCCCGCAGCGATCTCCCTGTCCCACCCCAAACCTCTCTATCCAGCGCCCTCGGGCCCTGACGGAGGCTGGACCGCTGGAGGTCAGGATTGTCTAGCAGCATTGCCAACACTCCTGCTGCTTGCTGGGCTCTTGGAAGGCACCGAGGGGTAAATTAGAGCTAAATATTTACAGAACATTTGAACCAG